CCATGGCCAGGCTAGTTTTTGTTGTTCTTTTAGTGAGATTGGGGTATTCACATGTTGGCCAAGCTAGTTCTGAGACTCCTGGACTCAGGTGATCCACGTGCCTCAAGCCTCAAAGGTGGGGCTGGGATTCAGGGCATTGAGCCCGTACCTGGTTTTTCTTTTTTTCTAAAGGTCTATTTGATTTCTTGTTTCTTTCTTCTTTTTTTTTTTTTTTCTTTCAAGGTCTGTCACCCGGGCTGGGTGCAGTGGTGTATTCTTGGTCCCTGACCTCTGTTTCAGGTTAGTTGTTTCTCCGCTGCGCTCCCCAGGTGTGGAACTGGGATGTGCACCGACACCTGGGTATTTGTGTATGTTTTTGCTGGTTAACGAAAGGCTTTCACATGTGGCAGGACTGGTTTTGGAATTTCTGGCTCTAGGGATCCATCGTTCGGCATCAAATTTGCTGGGGATTAAGGTGTAGCCCACTAGCCAGGCTGACAAGTCCTTTTTTATTGTTTGTTTTTTTATGAGTTCTGCTGTGTCACAGGCTGGGTGCAGTGGCGATTAGCTGGACTGCATCCTCCGCCTCGGGTTCCAGTGAATTCTTCCTGTTTCGCCTCTTGAGGTTTGGAGATAGGACGGCCACTGACCCGCTATTTTGTGTATTTTCAGTGAGGCATGGTTTTCACCATGTTACCCAGGGACTGTCCTACTCTGACTAGGGATCCGCTCCCTCACTCCCAAGGCTTGGGTTACAGGGTTATGGAAGCCCTGGCTGACAGGTCTATTTGATTTTTTTACACGGAATGTATCAGCGCCTGTGCAGAGGTAACTGTAGTTGCAGCTTTGGGAGGCTGAGGGAGGGAATCCCTTGAGCCAGAGTTTGAGGACAGGCTGAGGCAATAATGCACCAAAGTTTACGTAAAAAATACAAAAAAAGTTGGTGGCAGGGTTTGCTTCACGGCTTAATTCCAGCATCTGGGAGGTTAAGGCAGGCAGATCCAGGAGGTTCAGGAGATTGGAGACAACCTGTCATGGTGAAACCAGTGTTCTACCAAATACAAAAAAATTAGTTAGGCGTCGGTGGTGGGGCCTGTAGTCCCAGGTACTGGGAGGCTGGGAGGAGAATGGCGTGAACGGGAGATGGAATGCAGGTGAGCCGAGATTGCGCCACTGTAACTCGCCTGGTGCACAGAGCGATGGAATCCTTCTCAAAAAAAAAGATAAACTACAAAAAGTTTAATAGCCTGGCACAATGGCACGCCTGTAGTCCCAGCTACTCAGGAGGTTTGAACCTGGGAGATGGAGGTTTCAGTGAGCCGAGATTGTGCCACTGCACTTCAGCCTGGGTGACAGAACAAAACTCTGTCTAAAAAAAAAAAAAAAAAGAAGTATCAAATACACCAGAAAAAGCAAAAAATAGAGACAGAAAGTAGACTGGTGTTTGCTTGTGGCTAGGGGTGGAAATGGGGATTAACACTTAATGAGCATGAGGGGACTTATGGGGGATCCATAAGGTATGCTAAATGTTCTAAAACTGACTTATGTTAATGTTGCACCACTCAGTAAAGTTACTGAAAATCATTGGATTGTACATTTTTGAAATGCATAATTTTATGTGTAAACTATACCTCAAATACATTGTTTAAAATCTATGTGTAATTACATGCCTGTAATCACAGCACTTTGGGAGGCCAAGGCGGGAGAATCACTCGAGGCCAGGAGTTCAAGATCAGCCTGGCCCATCTCTACTAAAAATACAAAAAAATTAGATGGGTGTGGAGGCACACGCCTGTAGTCCCAGCTACTTGGGAGGCTGAGGCAGGAGAATCGCTTGAACCCAGGAGACTGAGGTTGCATTGTGTCACTGCACTCCAGACTGGGTGACAGAGTGAGACTCTGTCTCAAAACAAAACGGGCTGGGCACGGTGGCTCACGTCTGTAATCCCAACGCTTTGGGAGGCTGAGGCGGGTAGATCATTTGAGGTCAGGAGTTCAAGACTAGCCAGACCAACATTCTGAAACCTCGTCTCTACTAAAATACAAAAGTTAGCCAGGCGTGGTGGCAGGCGCCTGTAATCTCAGCTACTCAGGAAGCTGAGGCAAGAGAATCACTTGAACCCAGGAGGCAGAGGTTACAGTGAGCCAAGATTGCATCACTGCACTCCAGCCTGGGTGACAGAGCAAGACTCCCTGTCAAAAACAAAACAAAACAAAAATCTGCGTATATATCCTTAAAAAATTAAAACAATGCAGAAATTTTGAAGTCCTCTATCCCCACACCCAATTCTATCTTCCACGCATAACCAATAGTGGTTGGTGTTTAATCCTTTCTGACGTTTTTCTACGGAGAATCCAACATACACGTTACAGATAAATAATTTTCTGCAACTTTATTTTTTCTTTGGACACGTAATGTGGGACATGAAAAATTAACCGTAGCTACTCTGGAGTTGGGATTGAGGTAGTGGGAGTGGACTCAATGGCAGGAAGGGAGAGGTGCATTAACTTTTTTTTTTTTTTGAGACTGAGTTTCGCTCTTGTTGCCCAGGCTAGAGTGCAATCATGTGATCTCGGTTCATTGCAACCTCCGCCCCTCCGGGTTCAAGCAATTCTCCTGCCTCAGCCTCCTGTGTAGCTAGGATTACAGGCACACGCCAACACGTCTGGCTAATTTTTGTATTTTAGTAGAGATGGGGTTTCGCCCCATTGGCCAAGCTGGTCTTGAACTCCTGACCTCAGGTAATTCACATGCCTCGGCCTCCCAAAGTGCTAGGATTACAAGCGTGAGCCACCGCGTCTGGCCTAACTTTTTACTTTCTTTGCTTTTATATCCTTTGCATGCTTTTGTCATCAGTGTTTGGAGTTACAAACCCAATAAACATATTGAAACAAGAAATACTATTGAATCCTTAATGCCATGCTATTCTTCAATTTTAAAAAAATTAAAAATTTAACCAAGTGCTGGACACCATGCTGAGTACCTCAGATATACTATTGCACTGAATCCTAACAACCCTACAATATGCAATCCTATTAGTCTCACTTGACAGGTGAGTAAACTTAGACCTGGAGAGATTGATTTTCCAAGATCACACAGCTAGTGTGCAGTGAACCTGGATCTTTACAGTGCGGCACCTCTTCTCCCTCTGATACTTATGGACATCCTACAAAACCCAGCTTTAATGATTTCATCTCATGTGCACGTGTAGTCTTCCCGAACACACTTAGGCACGAAGATGACCCTGTCCTCAAGGGACTGAGAGACCAGGGAGGAGACAGCCAGCTAAACAATTACAATCTAGTGCCATGAGAATACATATAGCTTAACAGGACTCTGTTCAAGCCGAGGGAGCTTAGACCACACGTCTGAGGCAACCAAGGATCTCCAGAGAGTATACTTTGAGCTGATTGATAAGGATACCCAGGATTTTTTCAGGAGGGTCAAGGAAGGTGTGAGTGGTCAGAGGTGGGGAGAGGGTTTAGAAAGGGATTTGAGGCCTGGCATCTGTCTCAGGAGACTCAGGGCTCCTATACACCTGGGCATACTCTGGAAACAACAGTTCTGTAGTTCTGTGTGGCTGGAGGGTCAAATTGGCCTGAAGGAGGGGCAAAGGGAAGGACGTGCACCTTGAAGCTTAAGGCCAGATCACCAAGGCCTTTTCAGTTGAAACTGGGTTTTTACACTTTATTCTGTGAACGAAACAGAGCTGTTTGAATATTTGAGCCTGGTGTGTTAGAAAGATGAAAAGGGGCCCCAAGGGGGCTGTTGTGGGAGGTCCCTCCTCAATCCCTGGGCTCTTCAAGAACCTCTTGTCTTGGCATTGAGCGGTCAGGTCGTTTCTGCCCCAAGCTGGGAATTGCCTTAGGGCAAGGACATTGTCTCATTTGCCAGTGCATCCCCGCACCCTGCACAGCGCCCGGTATACACAAAGTACTCAGTAGGGACTGAACCCGCCAGCAGAATGTTGGGCACCAAGAACGTGAGGCCAGGGACTGTAGGCTAGAAAGCGAACCTTTATTTCTTCCCCAGCGCCGCCCCTGGCACGGAGCTGGTAGGTGTTCAGTCAAAATCTGACCCAACCATAAGGAGGTCAGAGAGGTCCTGGGCCCAAACTCAATCCCAGGGAGGTTCGTTATGGGCGGGTGAAGGAGAGGTGATTGTAGCAGCTTCTGTTCAGTGACTGCTGTGTGCCAGGAGAATTCATACCTATTGTCTTATGCTATCTCCCCAACAGCTCCTAAATTGGAATTATTGTACCAGCTTTCCTGATGAGGAAACTGAGGCTCAGAGCGGTTCTGTAACTTGGCCAAGGTCACACAGCCAGCAAGTAGGTGGGCGGAGGCACAAGTCAAAGCCTACTGGCCTGCCCCTCCACCTCGGGAGGCAGAGCGACGCCTACTCCGTTTGTGTGGCTGCTGGGGTTGGGGGGCACCCCTGGGGTGCGGGGTCCGGGGAGGGCGGCTCGCCGCCGCGGCTCGGCGGAGCTCCCAGGTTCGGAAGTTACGAAGTTTCCGTGCATTTCGCTAGCCTCCCAGCGCAGCTCGTCTCCGCTCCGCCGCAGTTACGCCGCTAGCGTAGCGAGACTCAGGTGCTGCAGCGGGCGGGGGCCTGGGGCCGGGAGGAAGGCGGGGACGCAGTTTACGTAACCGTCCGCTCGCAGGTGCATGCGGCCGCCGGCCGCGACTGCTCCCTGCGCGCTCCCAGGTGCGCAGTTGGCGCAGGCCGCAGCGCAGCACGGCGGCGGCGGCGGGCGCTGGCCGGCGCTCTCAGGTGCGGCAGGGCGCGCGTGGAGGGGGCGCGCGGCGAACGAGGGGGCGGGCTTTCCGTTCCCCAGCAGCCGCGGGGCCCGCCCCCTGGCCTGGCCAATGGGCGCGCTCGGCGGTGTCACGTGCTCACCGCCGCTGCTGCCGCCGCCGAAGCGGAGACCGGAGCCGCGAGCGCCACCAGGGCAGCAGCCGCCGCAGCCGCCGCCGCTGGGCAGAGGAGCCGGAGACTCGAGCGGGCGAGGTGGCGGCGGCGGCGGAGCGGGAGCGGGTACCGGGCGCGGGCAGAGCGCGGCGGCGCGGGTAGGCTCCGGCGGCGGGGCGGGCGCCTGCGCGACGGGCCGTCCCGGGCGGGCGGCGGTTAAGGCGGCGGTTGAGGCGGTTGGCGGAGCCGGCCCGGGCCCCGCATTGTTTGTTGTGCGTCCTTAGCAGCGGCGGCGGCGGTGGCGGCCGAGGAGGAGAGCAGGGAGCAATCCCAGCCGCGCGGCTCCGGCATTGTGGCCGCCGCCGCCGCCGCTGCGGTGCCCCGGCCGCTTCGGGCAAGGGCAGCGGGCAGCCTTCCTCACCTTCGCGGGGACGGGGTCCCGGCCGAGCAGGGGAGGGCGTGGGCAGGGTGGGGGGACGCGGTGTCGGGAGGTCTTCTGGGACGGAGGGCGAGGAGCTCGGGGCAGGTGTTGGAGGACATTAGGGGCAGGAGCTGGGGAGAGGCTTCGGGGGGCAGGCGGAGGGTGTGGGCAGATTTGGGGATAAATAGGGGTGCAGGGGGATCCGGCCCAATGGAGGAGGAGAGCCTTCAGGCAGGTTTGGGGGGCCCCCTGGGCCAGGCGAGTGCGAGATGGAGGACGTTCTGGCCGGTGGGGGGGCACTATATTGTGGGGTTCAAGAGGGAGTGAGGGGGCCTTTGGGGAGGGCTGGGACGAGTGGGGTGGGAATGGAGGGAGAAGACTGGGGACTCGAGCAGAACTGGAAGGAGCACTGCGTGCCAGGAGCAGGGAGTGGGGCGGGTATTAGGAAGGCCACTGGGACGCTTGTGAAGGGGAACGATGGAGGAGGGGGTCGGGGCAGGGGGAAGTGAGGGCAGGCAGGGAGCGCCTGAAAGGGAGGGAGGAAAGCAGGGTGCCTAGGCGTCTGGGGTGGTAGGGAAATGAAGGGTAGGCCCAGGGGCTCCCAGGAGACCTGCGAGGGGTGTGAGGTAGTGTGTGGCCAGGAGTATAGGGGTGACTGCAGGGAGGCGGAAGGAGGTTGACATGTGAGGATAAAAAGGCAAGTATCTGGTGCTCAGGGAAGAGGAGTATGGGGTGGAAGGGGGAAGTTGATTGGGGCAGAGACTTGAGTTTGAGGGCTTGCAGAGAGAGGTGGGGACAGTAGGAGAAGGGTGATGGGGATGGAGAGCAGGAGGTGTGTGGGGCATTTAAAGGATTGCGGGAGAAGTGCGTGAAATGGAGGGTGTTTATGCAGGAAGTATGGAAGAAGGTGGGAGCAGCAAGAGAGGGAACTTTGAGGTAGGACGGAGGGTGAGGGGTTCTTGGCAAGTGTTGGAGGACATTAGGGGCAGGAGTTGGGGGAGAGGGACAGGTGTGTGGGGTGGCATGGAGTGTGTGAGGTGGAGGGCAAAAGCGGGTGGGGAAAGGGAAGTGTTCTTGGAGTGGCAGGTAAAGTGTGGGAGCAAATGGAATGAAAGATTTCTGAGGCAAGAAGTGTGGATGGAGAGGCTGGGGAGGAGGGAGGTGGAGGAGAGTGTGTGAGAAGGAAATCAGTAGAGGGGGACAATGGGACACACTGAAGGGGAAGGTGGACAGGTCTGGAGTACAGTAGGTGGAGGGAGGGAAGCACAGGTTTGGGCCACTGAGTTTTGTGCTGTAGGGAGAAGAGAGGTAGGGAGAAGGAAGGTGGACAGACTATTTTGGGGTAGAGAATGTAGAAGAATGCTTAATACCTATAGTGGAGTAAGAGAAGGGCAAGGTAGAGGTGTATGTGGACATGTCTGTAACTAGAAGGGCATAGGTGATGGATTGGAGTGGTGGTGGTGGAAGTAGGATGCCCAGGTTTAGGGCAGGAAATGACTTTAAGTTGGAGAGAGCTAGGAACACAGGTGGCTTGAGAGAGTATGGAAGATCCAAGGAGTGGGAGTGTGGGGAGAGATTCGAACACTTGGAGTTTCGAGAGATGAAAGGGGCCAAGATTTTTAGGTCACTGGAAGTATAAGGAAGGGCAGGCAGAGTGTAGAAGTTGGAAAAATAACTAAATGGAGAGGCTTAAATTCCATACTAAGAGAAACTGGAGATTGAGGGGTGCGGGGACCTGAATTCTGGAATGATATTAATGGAAAATGGAGGACATTAAACCCAGTGTCATATCTGAAAGTTCATACTCCTAGGGTCAGAGAGATCATTGAGCCTGCTTTTAATTCCAGAACCCGGTAAATGACGAAGGGGTAAGGGAGAGCTGAGTGCACATCCCCAAATTTGAAAGAGGTGTGTAGTGGGTATCTTCCTAGCATATTGGTTTGATGAGTGGACAGAAGAGCCACACAGGGTCATGAGGAGTGCACCAAGAGTGAATGGAAATGGGTTTGCAGCAGGTGCAGGGCAGATGTCTTTGTGAAACTGCAAGAGACCAGGCCCAGTAGCCAGTTGCATTTAAGGGCTATGTATAAGAGAGGGAGAAAGGGATACCTTGGTGCAGTGTCTCAGATATCCTGGTGCTTTCTGGGTAATGGATCAGTATTCAGGCATGGGGTGATGTAATATCTGAGTCCCATGCTGTAGGCAGACAGAAGTAATGTACACCTGGCTCCTAAGAGTGGCAGAATTGGAGCTTTCTGACTCAAGATGTGAGTAACTGATCTGGATTGTTGACTTGTCCTCCCAAATAGTTCAGGTAAAATTTAGTTGGAGGCTTTTGGATTCTCTGGTATTTTGATTTGAGTTGGGAAGTGTAATGTTAGCTTTATTGAGGAAAGACACTTATGGGGTTGGGCGGACATATGGCCTTCATCTTGCCAAACACATGGGAAGTAACCTTTAGGGGTTTGAACACAGACACTTATTTCAGTGCAAGTCTCATTCACTGTTCTGTGGCTTGTGTTAGATTCTTAGGGATTTGAAAGGATTAAGCAAACTACTTTGAGACTGCTTCAGTAAGCAAGGTTTCCTAGAATCTTGGAAAACGACTTCCCTTTTGACAGTTGAAAATTAAGTCTTGTCAGATTTTGCTAAAAAATAAATTTCGTCATGTTGCAGAAATAACTTCAATTATCACTCTGTGGGCTTCACGTAATGTGTAGTGTGGTACCTAGTATGATTTCAAATAAAAGGTTTGCTTTGGTAGCTTGGGAGCTTTCTGGGTTGATTAGTTTTCTTCTTTTGTCGGTTTAGGAAGTATCTTAATGCAGCCATTGTATGTTTGAATAATAAGTTTGAGTGGAAGTGGGAATCTTGCCTAAACATAATGAGGGCGGAGCAGAACACCAAATTTTGAGTAATCGGAATCTGTTAATAAAAATATTAAAAAATAAACTGGAAGCAAATGATTTGTAAAATCCAAATTTGAAGTGTGTCATGGCAGCAAAAGAATGCTCTGAAGGCGTTACTGTGAGATTTTATTTTTGGAGGGAAAGATTTTAAAAGTGTAATGTCCCTTCGATTGAAACTCTTTGAGTATTTTGAGATTTGATGTATGTATACAGTATAATTATAGGGAGCGTGTCTGACCTCATTTGCTTTTTGGCAGAGAATTTGAGCAGTAGGGTATAAGATGAGTAGAATGAGCTTTGAAAATTCTCTCCAACATAGCCATTGTTTCCTCCTTGTATTTTTTAAGTCCATTGTGTTCCTTTTATTGACTTGAGGTGCGCACTACTTTCTTGCTCAGAATACTCAATTCTGGCATAGTGTTCTGATTATATGTATTGTTCTGTGAAGTTCTATGAATTGGTACAATTTGTAGGCACTTTAGATATCCTAAGTTTATGAACCAAGGAAAGCAGGTTATTTAGGCTTTGTAGGCTGAATAGTTGGGTTCTGGTTTTATTTTCACTGGTGACTTGCTGGACAAGATATTTAATCCCTTCCTGCTGGTTTATTCTCCAGAAACCTGACTCTATCCATCTCCTATGAGAATCAAGGTGGTTTATATGAAACAAGTTTAAGTCTTTCGGGAAGACTAGAACTATGCAAATATGGGGATAGATGTTATTTAGTTCCTTTTTTCTCCCTTGTGGCTTTTAGACTGGTCAAATATTAGTACTTCATAATTTGCCATTAGGTGGATTAATTTGTGTGAAAGTTGAATAGAGATGAAATTTATGTGACTATCAGAGATGTCTGCAAATTGAAGTTTATTCATTCTTTGCTGTCTGCTTACCTTTCCAATTTCTCAGCTGAGTATTAGTGCTGGTTTGAATTCTTCAGCCTGAGCAAAAGCTTGTGAGAGACATTGGATTCCAGCTATAGCTCAAGATTGTTTCTAAGCAGGAATTTCCAGAGACAGAGTACTTCTTTGGCTCAGTGAATTCAAGTCTTTTTTTTTTTTTTTTGAGATGGAGTCTCGCTCTGTTGCCAGGCTGGAGTGCAGTGGCACAATCTCGGCTCACTGCAAGCTCCACCTCCCGGGTTCGAGTGATTCTTCTGCCCCAGCCTCCCAAGTAGCTGGGACTACAGGCGCCTGCCACCACGCCTGGCTAATTTTTTGTATTTTTAGTAGAGACGGGGTTTCACCATGTAGGCCAGGATGGTCTCGATCTCCTGACCTCGTGATCTGCTTGCCTCGGCATCCCAAAGTGCTGGGATTACAGGCGTGAGCCATCGCACCCAGCGGAATTCAATTCTTATATTAGAAATAGTAAACATGATACATTTTCCTATGTATTTTGCAGAAAATTGATTACTGACTGAGTGACTGGAACAGGAAAATAGAGCTATCCCTTCTGCTAGTGATATCAAGCTTCCTTCTTCTGATTTACTGAATACTCCTTCCTTTTTCAAGTTTTAGTTATCAGATAATTACCTATCACTTGGTATTTCCATATGCATTGACAGGTTTTGCTCTATCTGAGGGGGAATGATTTTTAAATGCTTTCTTAATGTTGTGTTTGGTTTACAAGTTGTAAAGAGCCTTCCAGGTGCTGGTCATGATTGACACAGCAAAAATGTAAATAGCAAATTGCTTTTTTTTTTTTTTTTTTTAAAGAGACAGCGTCTTGCTTTGTGGCCCAGGCTAGAGTGCAGTGGTGTGATTATAGCTCATTGTAACTTTGAACTCCAGAGCTCAAGTGATCCTCTCGCCTTAGAATCTCAAGTAGC